CGAATGCTCAGCTGCATGACGCTGCGAAGAGCAGTTTGTCCAACGATCGATTGACCTTGCGATAGAAAGCATCCCATGCAGGCTACATGCGTGGGGTGAAGCTGTGCCGGAGCAATGTTCTGCCCGACCCGAAGCTGATTGAGTTGCGCAGCCCAGCCTTACCTCATCTAGCCGGCATCTTTGAATAAAGCGTGCTCACAAGCTTCAACACTCTCGAGGCGTGACGCTTTATAATATATTGCGTATTTGAGTGTAGTATAGTCAAAAGGTACGAAGACTTAGGAACAGGTGCTGTATTGCAGTGTTACTATATTTTACCAAACCAATGTTAGCCTTTCGTCTCCGACCGGCCCGGAAGTTGCTTGAACAGTTTTGGGGCGAAAGGGAGGCTGCGAATTTCACACCGAAGTGAAAATTCCAGGTTTCCAGTAGTAGGATTTATGCCCATGTTGGTACTCATATGGGCAGGGCAGCGCTGCAGCTGTTTTTGTGATGACAACACCAGTCAGCTTTGATTCATCGTTGTGCTCACTCTATATGCGAAGTTGCGTATGTGTTGTATATTTAGCTCACCAATACCATAAGACCCTCCACCTACCTAAGTGTTTTAGGCGCTGACTTGTTTTGCTGATTGCTGCTTCTTCTGCCCAGGCTCTCCCGCGATTCTCACTCGAACTTCAAGGCATTCTGGGCTTTGGGCTTTCAGGCTTTAGCAGGTTTCTAGGAGTGGTGCACTTTGGGTTGTAGGTTTCGGAGTGTGTTACAGTACAGGGTGTGTGATGCTTGAGGCTTTTGGGGTGTCCACCGTGCAGGCATCGGCTTTAGAGTTTAGACTTTTGGGATTGCTGCACGGGCTTTCCGGTTTACGCAGCCCGAAGCCTTCTGATTCTGATGACGGTGGGTCAGACTCGGATGGATGCTCGAAGGGTTTGATATAGGTGCCTTATGATGCCAAGAGTATGTTTCTTTTGGTGCGGTGTTTGAACTTGAGGCATGCTCTGCCAAACAGGAAGTCTTGCGGCCTAAACCCTACAGACCCTAGATGATCTCGGATCCATGTCTTTTACTGAGGCCTGGGCTTTTGCCCTGACCCAGAGTTCTGGATCTTTGGCTTCGGTTTCGGTTTCACCTTTTTGGCTTTTGGGTTTGCGGGCTTTCAGAACTGAGGTCCTTGCCTTCCCGTGCAGTTCTGAGGTCCTTGCGGTCGCCCGGACACAATTCCGTGGGCTCGGCAAGACCTAATAATGCTATCTCTATCTCTCTCTCTCTCTCTCTCTCTCTATATATATATATATATGTATCATTAGTACTAATATGATTATTAATATGATTAGTATTATTATGATTATTCCGAGAGTGCCTGCCCTTTCCAGGATTGAGAAGCGCGAGCACCGTCTACCGAACCTGGGCCCTGCACCCTCAAGCCCGAAGCCTGTGTCCCCCGGTTCCTACACTCCGTATTTACACTCGAAGACACAGACGCAGACAAGGCTCCCAAACCTAAACCGCTATTCCCGAAGCAGAAATCCTTGAGCACGAAGACCCTCAACGACTGAGTGAAAGGTAAACCAACCCCCTACCGAGCCTTTGTGAGGCCATGTAACAGCCCCAGAAGCAGCATTTCAAGAGACCCCGAGCTCCCCCAATTCCCAAACGCTACACCCTCGGATTCCTGAGGCCCTAGTCGCTGAACCAACAAGTACCCCAAATCCCTAAAGTTCCCCAACGCCATGAAGTCTTGTCTCGTGAGAGGCCCAGTATGGCGAATACCAGGCCGAGGACTCCCCATGGAGCAACCTGCAGCTGGGCCAGAAGAGCTTTCGCCAGGAGATTTTGGGTGCAGACTTTAGGGTTGAGGCTAGGGTTAGGGGTAGTTTAAGAATTTAGGATTAAAGCCCTTGGGTGTAGGATTCGAGGTTGTTCCTTGGTGGTGGTTAGGGGTTTCAGTCTCAGGCTTCAGGATTCTCACTTGGGGTCAGGTTGTGAAGTTTTGGGCACTCGGATTTCGTTGCGTCGAGCTTTGGGCTTGTCGAGAGGGTTTGGTTTGGGGTTCTGAAGTTCTGTTGGATGCTTCCCTGATGCTGCTCATTGGCTTTGTGGAGCTATGGCTTTTGTAATCGGTTCGGATGGATGGCTTGTTTAGCGGGGAAGGGTGGGGGCAGGGGTTTTGGTTGCCCTTTTCGAGGGGCAAAGCTGAAGGCTAATAAAGAGCTGCACGGGAAGTCTGACAAGAGGTCCAAGCCGCTCCGACATCCCAACCACTTCAGTTAGGGGTCAGGGCTCCTCGCCTGCGCACGACCTAATCCCGAAGCCCTTGGCCCCAAATATTTGCAGCATCATGTCCCGAAGCTGCATTCTGAAATTCGCATCCCGAAACCGATTTCAAACGCAGACCTTGGGTGCACTGCCATGGTGACATGCCAGATTCAGGCGAGCTCCATCATGCAAGTTGCACAGGTTTACTTCACACTTCACAACTTCTGCGTGTTCCGTTCATGCGAAACTCGTGTCAGTGCAGCCGAGGTACGTTTGCGGTGACTGCCGTCGTGGAGCTTCGCTCGTCGTCACCGCCATCGCAGAGGTGGCAACCCCTGCATGATCCAGAGAGTATCAACCAAGTCCTGCAAGTTTCATGCTACAGCATGAGAGTGCAAACAGATTGGACAAGGCTTCCGCAAGGGAGCTGGATCCTTGCGTTGACCGACAAAGCTGCAACACGTGGCAGCATACTTCCTTGAACCAACTAGTTACAAATTCTCATCTGATCATCGTCAGAAGTAATTCAGGAAACCATTCAACTCGCATGGCCCATACCTTGCACGAGCAAGTAGCGGCAGTGCCAGAGACGCTGAACATCCGTGTCTGGTAGCCGAAGCAGCGATAACGGTCCGGATAATGATACTGTCAGCGAATAAGAAGAACAACACTAGCCGCAAGAGCAACAAGTACATAGTGTCAAGGAAGAAATTAGTATTAGCAAGTATTGTGGGGGTCGAACTATGTGAAAGCATACTCCCTGCCAGAGGCGCGGATAAGTTCACCAGTTCCGATCTCCCAGCCATGTTACGGTCATGATCGTGAGAGTGATGCCATGGGCCAGGAAGGTAATATTTTATTCCGGGAGTCTCCAACAGCTGAGCGCTTTTGTCCATAGGCGTATCAGGCTTACGACAACGGTTGAGCAAATTTCGTGCCCAGGTGGCGCTGACTTAAAGCATGGGTATGATGTTGTTGCTGTGTGTGACTTTGAGGCCCTGTGCCTCCAATCCGCAAGCCCGACAATGAGGGTTGGCAATGCCCTTCACTAAATTGGCACCAGGACCCGCACCACCACCACCGCCACCCACCACCACCACTGTTTCCTTCTCATCCGACAGCGGTTCAGTGCGCATACCAGCGATGCCTTCAAGCAGAAGAACTTTGTGTCTAGATCGTTTGGAAACCGCCCAAACCCGGAGGGTCGAGACTGCGCCGCTCGCGTGGATGCGCATTTGATGGGCAGCAGCTCGAACGACACAAGGATGGGTTTACGAAATATACGAGGGAAATGAACACAGTATTGACTTTCAGGAGAGATACTGTAGAAGGCATACAACAATCGGACCGGCAGCCATGAGAGCAGAAATAAGAAGGAGCGGCTAGTGACAACACTCGCTCAGGGGCAGGTTCAGGTCAAGGGTGCTGGGCAGTGTCTTTCGATCCCAAACCATTCCCGAAGTCGTATTTGCGGCACCACAAAGGGATTGCCGGTCCTAGTCATTTGTTTACTTTGCGGCCTTTGCAGGGGTATCTCGCAAGCCAAGAAGAAGGAAAACTCGAGACCAGAGTCTGCGAGAACTATTGATTCCTACTGAGTCGGAAGCTGGAGTCGCTTTTTCCAAAGCACTGAGACTGTTATTTCATTGTATGTCGCATTACAGCATTTGTAGCAGCGTTCTTACTGCAAGATTTGCCACCATTCCCGATACTGCTCTGTGCCTATCAGTTATCAGTAGTATCGAAGGACAACGGTCATGGCTCTGTGCCAAGAGCAAACCCTGAACCAATCCCATGCGACGTGCCCTTGACAGTGGCAACAGAATACGGACCTCGCGCAAAGGATATCGCCTTTAGCAGCATATCTCATGCTAGTTTTTGCGGTTTAGCCATCTCCTAATGTGGGTTTTTCGGGCAGTTTAGGTGCCTGGCAGGGGTACTGAGGTTCTCATACCAAAGCGTGTAGAGTACTTGGGGCAGGGCGATGCTCTTGAAACCTCCAGCCCCGACCAAAGGCAGAAGCCGATTTCCGCTTCATCACCCATCCAAGGCACCAGTCTGCCTCGTGCCGCTCCATTGGCCGCGAACCCTACTTACTTCCAGATGCCCCAGAAGGCCACACAGCAATCGCAGCTAGGTGTACGTAGTAATGGTAGTAGTGGTGGTAGTCGGAGTAGTCGTGAAATAAACCACCGCTCCGGAAGACAAGTCCAATCTTGAAGTATTTCGCGACAGGTTTGGAACCCAGGTGAAGCATAATTAGTACTCAAACCTAGGGTGCTGGGTTTAGAGATGTGGGCGCTCATGGGAGCGTTGGTTGCCGAACATTTGGGTTTGTTTGTCTTAGGTAGTTGGAACTTTGGAAGATCTCATTGTATATCTTGTTTTCAGCCATCAGTTTGTCTGGTCTCGTCCTGCCTCTTCTTGTCAACTCTTGTTCGTCTGTCAGTGCCAAGTGCTAGAGCGATCCTTTGTCACAGACGGGCCGCGAAGGAGCGCCCCAGGGGCAGGGCCTGGTCCGCCTGTTTTGTACCGTTTTTGTTGCCTTCGGGTTCAGGGCTTGGCTGATTCTGTAGCAGCTCTGCGCTTCAATGTTGCCTTTGATCGTTCTGTCTGGAATCATCGAGCTGCCTTTCATCTAGCTTGGTTTAGGGTTTGAGGGTTTATGGTTTTAGGGTTTAGGGTTTCAGCTTTGCCTTACCATCTTCCTGGCTTGTCTTGACATCAAAGAACTCGAAGACCAGGGCGCCGAGCCGAAGGGCCTCGTGAAGAGACATCTCCGAAAGCCACCGGGACTCTGACCTCTTAGAGTCGTAGAGGTTGTAGGGTCGAAGGGTTTTAGGGTTTTCGGGTTTAGAGATATAATAGGGATTCGGGATCGATCAGGGTTTGTGCTCACGACGAAGAGTTTTCCGGGTTTAGGGAGTTATGAGAATTCAGGTCCTTTGCGCAATGCTGTAGATGCTGGAAGTCTTGGGAATCTGGACTTCGGGGGCCTTGGGGCGGCGGGACGCAGGCTCGGCTAGAGTTTCTGGCTGAAGGGCTGGAGGATGGAACCTTCGCCGGTGGGTGGCAAGGGCTCCGCAAGCGTTGTGAAGGGATGTCGATAAAGACCTTTCATAAGCGCTGTCGTGCTTCCTGCGACAGCTCATTCTGCAACAATGGATTTCTCGGAGTCGCAGAGATTTGAGCGTGTTCGCTAACTTTCGCGCAGGGCAGCTGGTGCTAGTAACAACCTTCGGGCCCTCCCTTGACTTGTGAGGTTGTAGGGCTGTACACATCCGAATCCGTCTGCCCTCAAGGGATACGATACAAAGCGCATAGATGCCCTAATTAATGCTTGTAAAATCCCAGACGCCAATGTCCAGAGACCCTTAGCAACTCCGATGTCCAATGTATTTAAATTAAATAGTTTGTAGTAAAACTATGTAATCCAACAGCCCGAAAGCAAACCCGAAACCCTGAAGCCCCCAGTGTAAACCCCTTACAGGACAGGACCCGTTTAGAAACCTTTATAGAAACCCTTATAGGACCCTTATAGAAACAAGGAAACCCCGAGTCGCTGCCCTTGAAGAGACGACGATGTCCCAGGCACCACTACGCCACGGCCGAGGTCACCGCAGCCTTCGAGAGAGGCCTCCTCGTCGACAACGCGAAGCCGGAGGATCACCTTTGGGGCAGGTTTAAGGGCTTAGTGTTTCGGGTTTAGGGGTTGTTAAACAAGGTTTTGGGGGCGTTCAGGGGTTTAAGGTTTACGGGGATTAGGGTTTAGGGCCTAGTTTCGGATTTAGGTCTTGGGGCTTTGGGATAGCGTGGCCACAGGCTTGTAGCGGTTAGGTTTGTTCTGCAGTCCTGCACAGGGTCTTATACTTTATGACCATGAATACCCTCGAACACCCTTGACTGCTGTGGAGAGCTTTGGCATCGGATCCAGGAACCTGACGAAGCTGCCTCTTCTGTTTCCGATTTTTTTAGTGTATCGAATTATAGACAAACTGCAAAACCTGGGCTTCTGGGAGTTGGAGAGTGGAAGCCTTGTGGTCAGCATCGTTGCTATAGGGGCTTAAATCACGACATGTTTGGCGGCAATCAAGTCCTTCTTCGTCCCGAATGACACTATAGGCACACTCCACGAGCTTCAGACTCCAGAAGGCTTATTTCTGAGACCAAACACCCCAAACGACCCCGTCCAGGAGACAGAGCCCAATCCAGAGCCTGGCGCGGACACTCGCGTCGGCTCCCCTCAGGCGGAACCCGAGACGAACATGACACTGATTAGACTTGACAGGTTGCCGATGCCGCGCCAGCTTTGCAGATGTCACTCTTGTACTACTCCGACTCCTATTGTACTCCTACTCCTGCTCCACTCCTACCCCCACTCCCACTCCGATTTCTACTCGTGCTCCTACTCCTACTCTTACTACTCCTGCTAGCTACTACTTCTTCTTCTATTATTACTACTACTACTACTACTACTACTACTACTACTTCTTAAACAAAAGCCCTCAGCCCTAATAACCGCGTGTTGACCAGGCAGCGGCTCCGGCCCCTCGGGCCGAGGAATCGTCCAATGCTGCAGCGATGCAGTCGTCGTACTCTTAGTCTTATATAGGGTTGATGGTGGGCGGGGGCTTAGAGAGTTTATGGTTTAGGGGGTTTAGGAGGGCTTATTCGGGGGGTAGAGCCTAGGGTTCGTAGGGCTTGCAGAGTTTTGGGGGTAGGTATTTAGGTTCATAGTGCTTCGCAATTTATGGCTAAGTGGGTTTAGAAGTTCATGGTTACGGTGAAGGGGTTTGAGGTTTAGTACCAGGGTTTATCGCCGCGGGCACAGGCGGCTTTGCTGCTTTAGCCGTGTTAGAATTACCAGTTCATCAGGCCATTCGTTTCGCGCGTGGGACTCTTATGCTTGAGCGTACTTAAGTACGTCTAGGTAGAGTTACTTGGGGCTGTCCTTGCTTGCTCAAATCGAAGTTTCATGTGTTAATCGGTCTGTCTGCATATAGATCTATCTATCTATCGATCTTTCGGTCTATCTATCTATGTATCTGTCTACCCACGCACGTACCTACGTATGTACGTAGGCAGGCATGCATGTATGTGCGTGCATATATGAACATGATCTAATTACGCATGGTCTGTGTCGATAGAAAGACAGATAGATAGATAGATAGATAGATAGATCGATAGATAGATAGATAGATAGACGGATAAACAGATACATCGATGGCTATATGACTGTTGGTTCGATAGATAGACAGGTTCGATAGATTGATCGATAGGAAGACAGTCAGACAGGTAGACAAAGGTGAGTAGGTATAGACTATAGTATAGACAGATAGATAGATAAAACGGGTGGATGGATGGATGGAGGGATGGAGCAAAACATATAAACAGTGGTGTTTGCACAGGTATGCAAGTCTTTGCGCCTGTACGTGTATCTATATCCATATTCATGTGTTTGCCTACGTCTGCATCTCTTCTATCTATATCTATATGTGCAAACTTGTATATATATATATATATATAAACACACACACACACACACACAGCTGAGTACGCACCTACATGCATTCATGCAGACCGGCCTATTGCCAGTTTTGATAGTACCAGACCGTCTAGGACAGTGCTGCTGCCACGCTGTTGCGTTGCTACCACCGCGGCCGCGGCCACTTCCACTGCTAAAGCCCCTCTTCCACACCCGTCACGAGCATGATCAACCGAGCATCGATCTTTTAGGCTGGCGGCATTGAACTCCATGCAGTCGTCAGCGGCCGAGTCGAAAGGGCGTGAGAAATCAGCAGCTGAATGCTTCCGCCGGGACTGCACGGGGTTGATGGGGTTTGGTCCTCAGGGTCGACGGATTCCTGGGAGTCCAGGATTTGGGGCATCTGAGCGTAGGGTAGACTGGCTTTGATAATTAGCACTACTTTGCAGATTTTTGTTTGGTTCATGTTGGTCGTGACGAACCCCTTCGGCACTGCTTGTTTTCATTATCACCGCGCTCCCTGCAATGATCGGCTTTGGATTAGGCTGGACTTGATTTGAAGGTCGTAGTTAGTAGTTCGTGGCAGCAGCTTAGGAGACGGAGGATCAGCTGTGACAAGCTGCATGTTTGGGCAGCTACGTCACGCCAGTGAAACAATACCAAGAACACAGTAGCCATCGAGAAAAGAAAGTCAGGCATCATTGGCCTTGTCCTGGTTTCTTGTCCCAGGCAAGTCAGAACGATGTCGCTGGTTATCGGTGGCCCCAGACCAAGCTTTCTTGAGAAATTATTCGATCTGAGCAGGTCGAAGGGGCTCCGGAGGTAATAAGTTGCATGTTTGGATTTGCGGCCAGGTCGGTTCGTGGTTTCGGCCGACACCATCAACCGGGTTTACGGATTGGGTTTCGGTCAGGGGCAGGCTCGGAAGTGTATTTCAGGTCTCGGTCTTGAAAGTTGCTTGTGTAAGTACTCTGGGGCTTTCTTTGCCTTGGCAGGGGAAGTAAAGGATTAGCTGGTGGGGTAGAAGTGGGATTGCACTCGTAATTTTTATTACCAGCTGATTCAACGAATTGGCTGTCTTACTTACAAACTACTTATTTAACAGCTGCCCGAGCTTTCTAGCCATGCCGCTTGCGCAACGGGTTGTCTACGGGCTTGAGCAGTATCTACTGATAAACCCAGTCGGCACTTCGACCCCACCCACAGCCACCCAGGACGCAGTCATGTGCTGCTATTTCAGGTCTGAATACTCATAAGGCAATCCCGTGAAGATGAGTTTGACACGACAGACTGGGACGAATTTGATGAGTCAATAGTGCATAAGATCATGGAATTAGTGCGTTTGGCACAGGTCTCGCTGCCCTCAATGCTGGGCTTATCTTCGCCCTCCTCAGAAACAAGCACTGAGAGCGCGCGTTGTCTCTGCCACTTTGGGGCGGACGGGGGTCGTCCGCTTGGAGTGCTGTTTGAAGATGTTTGCCCCGAGCTGCAGACCCACCCCACCTCCTGCTTTTGCAACACTTCTGGGTAGTGAAGTACAAGCTTTGCACGCACGGAGACTCTGAGCTTGGGGAGTGCTTTCTATACCAGGACAAACCGAGCCCTCCTGCCCGAGTTGTTCGAGGTTACATAGGGCACTTGAAGGTGCTGGGTGCAGATTTTTAGCTTCCGTTCCTTGAAACACGGCCCCAAGAGACTGGGCATAGATTTCCCTTCAATGAAGTCCTCTTGGTACGAGTAGAACAGGTTAGCACCTCTCTTGCCATGAGGGGTAGACAATATCTGCCATGTGGCCATGGTTCTAACACTGCTGGTTAAAGGGTCCTTATATTGTACCATGAAGAACCTTATCCTGTCATTATAGGTCAACAGAACACAATGGGTTCTTAGTGTTGTGAAACTCTCATAGGGTGGAGAGCTGCGGATGACCCTCAGCACGCCATCACGCCATTTTCCCAACTGTGCCCCGCGCCCCTGCACGTGCAGGATGTGTGCGCGTGGTGCTCTGGCCCTTCGGCATTAGGCGAGAACGGCGCCGGTAAAGCGCGACCACGCACACAGCTTAGCCTGGAGGCATTGCTTTATTCGAATTTTTCTCGTTCGTGTCGACAAGATACGCAGTGCATGTGAATCACATGGCACTTTCAAATGCGCAGAACGTATCCAGGTCCCAGCTGAAGATGTTCAAATGTTGTGGCCGTCGTCAGTAGGGTCGAAAGCTCAATGCCCTTCTCAGCTTGCTCCAGCCGAAATCCTGCGTGCACTCCTGAAATCTGTGATACCACCTGGGATCTTGGTGCATTCACCTATAGCTACAAGAGCAATACACTTTGAGCTTGTGGTGTGCTGCGATTCTCTGCCGGGAGCTCGATGCAGTGAAGATTCTTCCGTTCACCCTTATACGTTATACGTCTGAAGTAGTCTGGAGTACAATATGCTAAAAGCACCTATAGCTGATAATATAGCAGAATATGATACTATAACACCTGAGCAGTTCCAGGTCGAGGGGGACTAAGGAGATTGAAGGTTTGGGTAGGACTTCTGGCAAGCATTGTTTTAGGATTATTGGGTTTAGGGGTTCTGGCAAAGAACCGCTTTGAAGTTGTTGGATCGGAAACAAGCTTCTGTGTGCGTCGATCTATCCTTCGGGTTTGGGCTGGAGGGGTAGTTGCAGCTTGTTCTGGCCTAGTACACCTTCACAACAAGGGACCAGGAGCAGGGCAAAGAACCCAACTTACTTGGAGGACAGTCCTAACTGAATTGGAAGCCGCGACAAGCCCTCGGAGGGGGTTCGCGCATGAGAGTCTGAGCACAGAACAACTGGCTAAGACCAATAACAATAAGAATAACGAGAATGAATTCACTGTTGCTGTTTCTTGCGTCCAGCTCCGGCGACGACTCAGGTGGCTCCGGTGCTTCGGGGGGCATTTCTAGAAGAGCAGAGCATTACCCAGACCCCGAGGTTCTGAAGCATCCCGCAATTCTTGACTCAGGAGAGAGTGTGGAGCATATATTCTCCTGTCCGTCGAGGTTTAGTGCACAGCAGCTTTTCGCCACAAGCAGATCAAAAGCTCTGTCGAAGGTGTGCGGTGCTGGCCCAGTGACGATTGATTGTCCATGCCAGAAACCACCCTAGCAAGTCCAACAAAATCGTGAAGGCCGGAAAACAGGCAGACGTGATCGCCCTACACGCACGGAAGAGGTTGCCCAGAAGGGCCCCTGCAAGCCGCATAAGAACTCAACTCCAACTCCTGAGCCTCAAGCACTCAACTGTAAATCCTTGCGCCTTAGGGATTCTCAAGCTTCTCCTTCGTTTGAGTTGTGATCTTGGGCTCTGGAGGTTCACCACATGCCACATTGACCCTGCATATGTATGCATAGGCATGAGACCAGTCGTATACCGATTGGAATCAGCGAACTGTTGATTACGTGTCTGCACACAGATTGCATACATACATACATACATACATACATACATACGCACATAGATAGATAGATATATACATACGTACATACATACACATTTACATATTGCTATCTGTTTGTATGTTTTTGTGCAAGCTTTACGTACGCCTTCAGCCTTCTTCCCTGGAAGGGTCGGTGTTGCAGCACCCAGCATGAGAGCCTTGAAGTTGAAGGGAGCATGAGTCTGGAACGTAGACACAACCGAGGCTAACGGCGAATCGTAAGGACAAGCCATTTCAAGCACGATGAGGTTGCATAGTGATCTCGTTCCCCGGCCAGTGCGGTACGCCTGCTAATGACAGACACCTCTGCGCACGCGCGATCCGGGCTATCACATATGAGTTGCGAAGGTTTCTTCAAACATGTCAGCCTTCTCTTGTGTGTGTGTGTGCGTGTGTCTATGTTTGTGCCTGTGGATCTTTGTCCGTGTTCTGTGCCCATGTCTGTGTCCATGCATGTCTGCGTGTCTACGTAAGTCACTGCGTTCGTGCGTGTGCCAGTATGTGTGGGAGTGCGTGAGTGAGCGCATTTTTGTGTCTGTCTGTGTCTGTGTGTGTGTGTGTGTCTGTGTGTGTGTGTGTGTGTCTGTCTATGTGTGTGTGTGTGTGTCTGTCTATGTGTGTGTTTGTGTGTCTGTCT